ATTCGATATAATCTTTTGCGGGAAATTTAATCAGAATTCAAATCTCCCAACGGAACCCTCGCAGTGATAATATATCATATTTGATATTATTTTGTATAAGCGTATTATGGACACGTATTGCTGTACGTGAGTTCGTCTCATTGTTTCGGTACGATATTGTATAGTTGTATACACGTCTTGTATTATATTATAGTGATATTTTCACAAACTATTCCTACCGCCAATGGTCCGTTGTTAGTATACATATTATACGATAACTGTAGTGTACGATATTATTACTATTATTATTATGAATGTTATATTTTACCGTTAGCACCGATTGGAGCTTCGATGACGAGTCTCGTATTATTATCATCATCATCATCATCATCGGTGGTGATCTTAACAAATTTAATGCAGTGGCGAGATTGGCAATTAGTTTTGAGGGCAGATATTGATTTTTAAATTATTTAACATTATTGTACCTATACGCATAATATCACATAACTAAATTTCCTTTAAGCAAATTTCAATATAATATGAATATACCGGTATTATACCACACCATGATTCTTTTTAAGTAAACGCTAATTTTCTCGAAAAATACTAACGTTTTTGAAATTATTGTATTTACATAATCTGAAGCATGACAAAACGTAAATGTTAAAAAAAAATGTATTATGTTTTAAAATGTATCGACAATTGTTAATTTTTGTTTCGTCTGTCTTCTATCAATCATTAATATTTTCACGGGTTATAATAAATAATATTAATTGTCAATATAATAATAATATTTGTCAACCTTTCAGTATTTTTTCCCTCTAGACAGCACAAGACAACAAACAAAAAAATAAAAAAAAACCTTATCCTACGATACAATTACAATATTATATAGTCATGCAGTCATCATCGTGTGAAGCTAGTAAATCTAACTCCGTATGAATATATAGATATATATATATTATGGCCATATAGATCAGTCAAAATACAAAACTGAAATATAATAAGCTGACATAGAGTTTACTACTGTGAATTTTATTGACCTCTCTTGTTCAACACTTAACTAGTAAAATATTATACAATATTACATTATATTATATGTATGCACACAACGTCACTAGGTACATCACACTCGTTTTATAGGAATGACTTAATGACATTCGAAAAACTTTTCTGGTTCAAAGCACTCTCGCCAAACTGAATAAAGTCGCAGTTTACGATGGACCGAATTAATATACTATTTCCTTTGGGTGTTATATTGTGCAGTAAAGTTAAAATTCTGCGTTTCTGCAAACGAGACAATGAGTTAAATGAAAGCAATGAGCTTGCTTCCTAACGGCATATTATTATAGTACTGCAGTGTTTTATCTCAAAACGCATATAACGTACTTCAGCGATTTCATTATTTCAACGTCAAAATCTCTTTTGAAAAATTGTTCAATTTGTCCTTTTATACCTCCCCGGGAAAGGGTAAAATATAATATATTCGTTTCATCTGAAATAATATTTATCATGAATTTTATTACACTTATCATGAAATTAGCTTTCTCCTTTTTTAATATTCAAGTGGGTTAAGTACCCGTATATTATGTACAAAATAATGTTTCACATCCGACTGATTATATTTTTAATGCAGATATTTAGTACTTACAACCAATGTTATGACGTTCGATGATAATATTAAACACATCAGTTAGGTAGCAATAATTGTGTGTACATAGTTATAAGTAGGTACCTCTATAGTAATATTATGTTTGCAAACTTAATGATAACAATACATTAATTTCCCCTATAGAATTTAATCAGCTTGTATACTGATTGTTTTTGTTTTTAGTATTTTCTCTAAATGATGTAATTTAAACATATTTGATCGATAAAAATAGGATATTGAGTGATTCTATCGTTTTTCTTATGTACCTAATAGTTACACACAGAATTCTATTATAATAATTTTTTTACAACGGTGAATATTAAAACACAATTTTATAAAATATGTAACGCGTTTTCTTTAATAATGTAATTAAATGAATGGCTCAATGGCCGTTAATCGCGTATATTGTAATATATTATATTATTATTATAATAACAACAATTTCCTTACTAGGTACCTTAACGGTAAAAAAATTAAACGAGTAGGTAGCTAGTACTCTGGCGTCATTATGTATCATTATTTTATGTATGTTTTAATGTTTAGTTCCCTTGACACGTTATTTTTCGTTATCAAAATAACATCAGCATAATAATTTCGTAGTATTCCAACGACGGTCGGAACGAAAAGGTAAACAATATAATTGAAGAAAATAATTATTGTGCTCCTAATTCCTATGGTATAGTAAAAGTAATTTAAAATAAGGTCGTGTACAGACCAATTTATTATTTAACTCCAAAATGTAACCCAGTTTAAACTGGAGTTTTTCCCTTTTATTTTCATAGTATTTACCTACTATTTCATGTCCTGTATTCGAACTTGTTCCTTCCACACACTATATAGGTATTGAAAAATTGTGGACGATTTTTCGCAGTGCTTAGCTGCTATAAAGACCAGACGGTTTAAGCATCGAACTATTATAAAAACTACTCATTATTATATGATCAAAATGTTCTCGGTACCTAATAATTTCCGGTAGAAATTGTAAGTAAGTTAATATTTATCCAATGTAATTAATTGTTATTAAAATAGTATTATATATGCATTATGCATACATACATAATAATTTAGGCAGATGATAAACACAATAATTGTTGAGACATTTGTATTACATCGATTTGTATAAAGAGTATTTACCTACGACCTACTATATTATAATTGATTTGCACTTTATTATATTTTACAGGAGACGTATAAATTGAAATAGCCATATATAGGCACTAAAAATAAATTACAGTACGAGTGTATATGACAATAAGAATGAAAGATATCGCAACTACCTATATCCTAAAAGTTTTATTATTTTTTAAGACTCATATTTTACATGTTTTGTAGTAACAATAATTATTGAAATTATAATTTCTAATTATATAATTTAGAAGTATATAACCTACAATGCTATTGTCCATCCTAATTTTATCGATCTACAGCGACGCGTGTTCTACCCAAACATAATATTATATCAGAATCGATTGAGTAAGAGCAGGTAGGTACTACAGGTACATTATTGACCTAGGTGTTGTAGAAAACTGGGCAAAAGAAAATTAATAATAATATTCTGCAAGAAAATATTATTAATTACATCGAGGGTTGATCTGCACGTGACCGACCCCACAACAGATGCGGCGAGGATGAAAAACCAAAAAGTCAGAGATGAAAAACAAATTTTTTCACGACCAGCCGTCGACTTTGGGACGATCAGTTTTCAAATGTATATATAATTATTTATTTACGCATATTTTTTTTTCGCGCCATCATTTTTAAAATGCCATAATTATTCCTGGATTCTAAAAAAAAAAAAAAACTAAAAAATATGGGTATCCGGTTAAGTAGAAAAGTTCCATAACATTGCCAGCCAAAATTCACTGTGCGTATATATTGTAAAAATGTACGCCACACTGGAATTCCAAAAATCCATCATTTTATATGGTATAAGTAATATGGTAATATTATGTTCACACACTAAACAACAATTCTGTGTGATAAATCGCAAGCAATAAGCCTTCTCATTTGTATATTAAAAATTGTTTTTACCAACTTTATACTATAGATCATAATAATATACCTAGTAGGTACATAAAATACAACGTTCCCAATCATCTTAATGTGTAATGTGTAAATTATTTACGGTTGACATATAAAAAGGTGCTTTAACTTCAAATTGTAAATATTTTGTGAAGTATGGTTTTTAGATTTTGTTTAGGCAATTAAACTAAAACGTATAAATGAAATATTAAATTATTAAAAAATATCTTAGTATCAAGTAAATTATCTGCTACCTACCTATCAACTGCAGCAAACATAACATTTCACATGACACCAAGTAGTAAGTAACCTATATATGTTGTACTCCCTCACTATATTAGTCTTTGCAAAAAAACGAGAATAATAGTATGGTATAATAATGGGTTCCAGTGAGATAATTTTGCCGCTCACTATAATATAATAATATTGTGCTAAATATCGTGACGGATACTTAATTATTTTCAGATTTCGATCCTCGTGGTACATTATAATGTGAGTTCTATATTAATTGGCACTTAATTTTAGTCAAATTAGTACAACACCTGCGGTACGCATCCATTGCGTATACGTTTCAAAAGAATCATTCGACTTATATTTTTAAAGTGAAACTTCTTAGCGGACGTAGGAAACCTTAAACGTTAAATCTTAAATTAGCTTTTTCAACAAAATATGTACTGAAAAATTATGGTCATAAAACCTTGGTTTTTTTTCTGTGAAACCCGATATTCAATAATAAAACAAATCATTATTTTAAAGTTATATTTTATACCATTATATTATTCCAGGTTAGGTTTGCTATACAATATAGTGTCTACACTCATTATTTCGAAACATTTCAACTTTTTTGAAAGTATTTTTTTTTTTGCATAGTTTGATGTCATTTCAAAACAACATTTCTGAAAAAAATAAATTATTTTTTTCTATTTTTTTAAATTTTTATTTTTTCGAACGATACCATACATTTTTAATTCAATATCCTAGAGATGAATATTATTCGGAGTATTTCAGTCTGTAAAATCAATTTAAAATTGTGAAATAGTTAATTAAGTTTTAGGACGATGTAGGTATATTACTTAACGCGTATGCACTATAATATGGAGTGCGTAGAACATTTACAATTACTATGTGATGTACCTACTCATGTAAATATTATAATGTACCCATATAGGTAGTAATATTGTAAGTTTATAATTTTTTGTAATTTTAAATGTACACCTATCGTTAAAAATTATATTTGTGAGCCAAGATAACCCCGGGCCTCTACACGAGTTACTCTCGGTAAGGCCCAACAATCTTTTGGTATCAAACTACATATTAAAAAATAATTAAATAAGTATAGGTGACTTACCGGAAGTGACGGAAGCGAACAACACGCAGAAGAAGCCGATTTCGTAGACCACAACCGTGCCGGACCTGCTGGTCTGAGTCATGTCAATATATTGTTGTACTATACTATGATATTATGTTGTACTTTTCGTCGAAAATTCACTGCGGTCGCGTTTGGATCGGAATTTTATAATTCTTTTGGAGGAAAAATTGTCTACCGCTCTTCTTCGGCGACTCGCACTAATACACCACAATTTATGTGATGTATAGGTATAATATACAAATTACGCCGACGACGGTATTATTATTATTATTACGATAATGTATCGTTGACGACAAATAACGATTATATTATAATACCTAAGCTATCGTCAGTGCAGTGAGCGTAGTATTGAATACGCGAGTGACAGCTATGGCGGATGGATCGTATCTAACAGCGTGTCAATGTGAACGTAGCACGTGCGTTGTGGTGGTGGAGGAGAGGGAAACTAGTATTCAGATAAATCATCGAATCACTATTATATTACAGTCCACCGCAGACATTAATTATTGTAATTTACAGAAGCTACCTATATAATCTGACACCTGCAGTAATTTACACCCCACCACCTCGCGTAAGAGCACACATATTACTATGCAGACGCATAAATTGGTATAATATGATAAACTTGGAGGACCCGTCTGGTCGCCACTGATTACAAAATACTAACAGACCCGGTATACTTCGTTGCCGATAAAAAAAAAGCCCGATCTTATAATATAGGTCAACACACACTGAGTGTATATGATTCAAACTTTGTTTCATTATTTACGTGATATTTGGAAAATGTGGTGCAGTTCCAAACTTAAAAAATATAGAAAAATTCATTTTTATATCGTTGAATAGATAGTAATAAGTAAGTAACTTTTTTTTCACGGGGACCTCTAACCAATATTGCTAGCAAAAATAAACAAATATCAAATATGCGATTATAATTTTACAAATTACCGTGCTGGTAAAAAAAAAAATCGACCAAATACAGAATACATGGTAAAATAATTATATCCAATATTAATAACAATTTCATTTTATATATCCAGTGGCAACCTTTTATGAAAAAAAAAAAAATTTCTATTTCCATCGTGAATCTTAAAATTCTTGTGTGAGCATCTCTTTAAAATTCGAATTTTGGTAAAAACCTTTCTTAGGGGCGTTAGTTTAGTGCACATGGTGGTACTGTCAAGATGTCAAATCCCTAGCTATCATACCTAACGGCTCATTGTTGATTAGTCAGTCAGTTGAAATATTGAGTTAGTATTACAGTCAGTTATTAACCAAAGTAACGACCGTTGAAATGCGATATCCATGATGAAAAAACTATACATGCCCGAGGGAATCGTCTGATTGGTGATTTTAGTTTACTTTATTCGCTTAATTTATAAAATATGCTTACTTATTCTAATTTATATGCCACCATGGAATATGTACTAACCTTATCGGTGACTCAGGTTAATTGTGAACGAGTGATTAGCAAATTAAAAGTTATAAAAAATCGTCAACGTGCTTCATTATCTAAGGACCGCTTAGGTCCTTTTTTATTAATATTTGTAGAAAAAGATATATTTAATGATTTGAAGTTTGAAGATATTTTGGAAATTATTAATAATTCATATTATCATACTTTATCTAAATTACTATCGTACCTACACGGCTGCACATAATTACATAAATATATAATTATAATATTATTTTAATTTGTCACCCTAAGTTGTTTCCCAAACTAAGTGAGTACATTTTATTTGATGATAATTTCTCTTTAAAAATGAAAAATAAATAAGTACAATGATATAGGTAATCAAAATGAAAGATAATTATAGAAAAACTTAAATTAGTTTATTTAGATGGGGAAAATTTTATTTTAGATGCATTTCCTTGTTTATCTAATGAGTAATGATGTTTATTTAATAACGATGATGATATAAAAACTAGGTAGTTTTTATCTAGACAAATATTTATCTAGATAAACTTGACAATGGCATCAAACGGCATGCACTAGGGACTTCAGAAACCCAATAACATAATATCGTACACTTTCATCCAAAACGTTGTAACTACTGGTAAGTTACTTACAGCAAGTATCTAAATGTACACCTATTCTAAGGATAAACTTTCTAGAAACTTAAATTATTATTTGTTTGCATGTTTCGACTAAGTGGAAATATATTATATATTATAATATCGTCGAACCGGTGTAGACAATAGACATCTCTGACTTTATTTTTTTAATATACCCCGATATTATTATAGGTACCATAATTTGGAGAGCTAATATTTGGACTTGGAATGTCTTACGTGAGCTGGGACGATATAGGCTCGCATGTGAGTGGGTACAGTTATAATATTTTGTCCGTCGTTACAATAATAATATAATATAGGTACACTATTGCTGTTATTGTTATTTACTATTCGACCCTCGTATACTGCACATAGTACCTATAAACCTATATTCCTATTCGACGTGGACTATTGACACACAAAATGCGTGCCAACCTACATAATAATATTACACTATGATATATATAAATATTATCGTAATATGACGTGTGGTTTGTACAGTTATCCGGGATGCATATATTAATATATTATACATGAGCTGTGGATGACGAGGAATTTAAAACAGCAGTAATGACGACTGAAATGTATAATAATGAAACTATAAAAGTGTACTGCTACTTACCATCTTACCAGTTACATGTATAATATTATAACAGGATGATAAAATAATCTGCTCCAGATCAATCAGTTTACGCGATTTAAAAAAAAATAAAACTGTTTTTATAAAGCGCGCACTATATATTTTACAAAACAATCTAAATTTGTCAACAATGCTTCAATGCTTGTAATGAATTTGGCTTTATTCCCGTAAACAAAACGTTGTATTCTAGGTGTTCTAAACATAAATTTAGGGCATCTTATATCCATCGTTGTATCCACCCGTTCATTAGTTATCAGTACCTACATATAGTTACGATTGTTGATATAATATATTGTTTTTAAATAATGTACATGGAATCACGTTGCGTTGTACTAAAAGACGTTTAGAAACCGGGAATTTAGGAAGCTAGCAGAATAAGCTTTGCCAACTTGTTTATCTTACACAAACATTTTGATGTAAAAAACGTAAAATAGTGGGACAGTTGATTGTTATTGTCGTAGACCGTGGTACTAGTAGGTACATCAGAAAAAGCGAGGAATCCCTGCCTTCCACGTCCTGTCATATCCAAACTTTAACATATCATTAGGTACCCATAAATAAAACGGCCGTTGTTTCAAGATCATATAATATTGTACATGTTAATCAAACAATTTTATTTTTGTTAATTTTAAATTGTGGGTTACTATATTTTATAAAGAACCCCATTATAGCAATAATGACATAAAACTGTGGTATAATATCAATAGTTAAACCTGGGTCATCCTGTAAATTAAAATATAGGTACCTATTGTGAATCGATCGGGCGGGACTATCGCACAGCTGAAATCGATTAAATCATTATAATAATATATATATATTGTACGGCTAGGTTCCACAATATAATATACAAAAATCAAATAAATATCTGTACTTATATTATATATGACACTAGTATAATATTATAATAATATATTGTATAATGTCCGGTTAAAATTATTGTGTGCGTTGAAAACAATCGAAAAAAAATTACATATTATTACATTAACATTTTAATATTATAATAATGTGTATAGACAGTTAGCGATAATATAATATAATGACAAGCAGTATACGCCACGCGCACGTATGTAATATTATATTATAATACAGTACATGTATAACAATGATAAATGCAACATTATTGATCGTCAGATTTATCCAAGGGATCTATTTATCATCACCATAATATTATAATATTATTATGCAATATAATACAATATTACATCGTCACACGCGGTATCGTACCGTAAATCATCGTCGTGAAATATTGTTGAAATACGTATATGATAAGAAAATATAATAATATATTATTGTTCGATTTGCTTGGGCACGGTGGTGGTGATGACAGGCCCGGAGGACGACCAGCTCTCCTCAAAGGATTCCTCGGACGAGAACTGTTGCGACGAGGACATTACCGTCTTCTTTTTCACGCCACCGTTGGCCAGCTTCTCTACCGACTCCGACACCGACTTGGTCGACTCTTCCGACTGCACGCTCTTGGCCTTCTGCTCCAGATGCGAGTTGGCCGTGTCTTTGGTCACCTGCGATCACCGAAAATGAACGATTTTAAAACAACAATCTTACTGATATCAATATTTTAAAAATACTATTTTGGAGAAAATTTCAAAATTATTTATTTCACAGTATTTTTTGCTTTTGTTTACTCGACATACAACAAGTTAAAAATGTCGTCTAGGCGGGTGGTTATTCATACAAAAAATCTAAGATTTCTCTTTAGTTTGCGTTAATATTTCAAAAGTGAACTCATTCGGTTCCGTTGAGTAAACTAAGAATAGTTATATCATGTAAAATGAAAGGAAATATTTCATAAAGAGAGAAAGATGTTTTTCAATTACCATTATAAATATGTGTTTATTTGCTATAGAAATTTTGTCTCATCGACATTTTCAAATGTATCTAATGTCGTATACTTTAACCAATTATAATAAAATGGACGGTTCGCATTTGGAAAAAAAATATTATTACAATCTTTAAAAAGCATAAGAAATTTGATGTTGTATAATATATAATATTATGGTCTTAAGTAGGAAAATTAACAAATTTTTAAAACTCAGAGTTTAATTAATAAATCAATTATTATTTGATATAATGGTGAGCATGCATTTCGAATCACCCAATACATAATAATATTGATGTCGTGGTATATAATATATGGTTATTATAATATGTTTATGAGTTTTTATTTTTTTTATAGGGTAATAAGCATAAATTTATTTGTTTGAACTTAATATCCAGTAGGTTAACACTAATTTAGTCTTATAAAAAGTTGCAAAAGCAACGTCCCTAACCAGGTAACCTACACGTTTCTGAAATTGCATTTAAGTTTAGTAAATGCAATGACTAATATATTATTATGGGTCGAAAAGTAAATGTTCTCACTAATTAAACATTGTGTAATGTGTATCCATATACGCACTGTGATCATTTCTGAGAATAACGGTTAAATTAATAATTGATGTGGAGAAAGCTATACATTTTAAAAAGTGGATTTGTTTTTTTTTTTTTATGGAGAAACGCGTTTTTATTTTTTCAACAAGTACCTACTCAAATTAAACAGTTTGTATTTTTAAAAGGCAATCGTCGTTAGTTGTTGGACTGAAACTTTGATTTATACCCAACATAAATTGGTGTACCTACCTACTTAATCATTTATCGATTATAATAGAATATTAGTTGTAAAAAATCATATGTATTGATGGGTCGGGACGCTACTAGTTTTTTGTAGCTCTCCAACGCTACAGCTATACTCTCGCAAAAAAGTAGCTCGCTATCACTATCGCTATTTTTTTTTAAATGTAGTGCTCTACTTTTTCACTACATTTTTAAAAATGTACTCATTGAAAACTAGTGTTTGTAGTTTATACTGATTTGACATTTGGTCACTGGACAGGACCCAGGACCAAAACCTTACTCATAATAATATAAATAAATAAATATAATCATAATTTATATTTTAATAATCACCAATTAAATTGTAAATAGCGACAAAATAATGATAATTTTCGCTACGCTAATAGGAAATGTTTAGCGAGCTATAGTATTTAGCTATCTAAGGCGTAATGTAGCGACGCTACAATTAGCTCGCTACTGCCGAGTCCCGACCACTGATTGTTCCTACTTCCTAGAGGTTATTTTGTTCTTAAAATATTTTTTTTCAACTAGGCATTCATATTTTATGCTTCGGAAAACACATGATTATAATAATATGTTACCCGCATCATATTATAATTTATATAATATAATAGATAAGACACACAATATTATACACATTATATTGTGTATCTTATTAATTATCGGCGATAAAATTAAATACAATGTGCAACTTAATAAAATATTATATAGGACAGGTATCTGGTACGCAAATATTTTGCAAATATAAAACAATAACAATGTACTTAGGCTCAGCCCCATATATTATCCTTTAATTATCGACATTTTTAAGTTAGTTTAAGGATCGTAATATTTTTAAATAATTACCATATTTATTATATTTATTTATAAGTATCATATTTTCTAACTTCTTATGGAGTTGTCGTGTATAGCGACTTATTTTTCTTCTAATGAGAAATATCAGTTCTTTTTTCCTGTAATCTGTTTATGTTTTTCAAAAACTTTTACGCATTTAAATTGGATTTCTATAGAGTTGTTTTAAGGTTATTGAACTTTTTCTATTGACAATAACTATTCTAGGTCTATGATAATAGGTTCGAAAGATAATATTATTATGATGGGGGCTATAATAATATGCTGGTTTGAAAATGTTTGTAATTAATATTAATCTATGAACATTTCATAATTTGTTAACATTTTCTGGGTAGAATAAATAGTAGATGCAATTTTACAATTTATTTTATATTTATTAGCAATGTTATTACAATGAATATTATCCTTAGTATAATTTATATACATTTTAGTAACATAAAAACTAAATACTCGTTAAAATGTTTATTAAAATACATCGACATATTCAAAAAATATCTTCTTAACAATTTGCTATAAAAAAGAGTGGTACTCATAAAAATAAAGGAAAATGATCGTGCTTTGGGTGAATCACCCTGTATGAATTCGTTTGATCTACTTTAATGTCATTAAATTTATAGGGACCCATCCAATGCTTTTTATACCACCGATGGCATACACAGTGGCGATCAAATTTACCGAACGCGTATTTTCCCACGATATGTAACAATATAATATATATGTATATGTAATAATATGTATACCTAGGTATATAAGTAAGATTACATACACGGGATTTGGGTTTAGTGGCATCCGTGATGGCGTTTTATTCGGCACTTCTGTGCCACAGACCACATGGTTTCACGATAAACCAAAAACGCCACCCTGGTGCAGAGCTGGCGGTGGATGATAGAATCGTCCCTTTACGGTATTATATCGCAAGCGGTATAGGGTTTTCCTTTTTAGTGCATTCGAAAAGGGTATAAAGTGCCACCATAGGCGATTTTACAATATTTTTTATTGCGACCCCTCCTCCCCTCAAGGTATACCACCAAATAATGAAATTGTTTTTATATATATATATATTAAATACATAATATTGTATCTATCGGTATGTCATTATTATACCACCTGAAAGCACTCGAAAAATAGCCGATTACGCATGCCCATAAAATATTATTATTATTATCATGAGCTGTGCCGAATACTTGCTTAGTGTTTTCAATTGATCTCAACGCATTATTAACGTACACGTAGTGACCGTTCGACGATTTTCAAAACAAGGTGATTCGAGGCCGAAGATCATGTGGTCGTCTGTCGCTTTGGACAGGGTCACCGATCACGAAGCGAGACCCGAAGGGTCGTGGATTTTACAATTAATTTAGGAACATAATGTATATTATATGATATAAATAGCAATAATAATTATCAATAATCAAATGAGACTCACAACACAATAATGATTGGGGAACAAATTACGTTTATTGGATAATAAAAAGTTAATTTAATGCCTAGAAAGCCAAACGGGCATAAGACTTGGAAAAAAATGAAAAAAGAAACGGAGATAATAGAAATAATAATGCGATATAAAAACGAATGAACACCGCACATTACAACGTTGACCCATATTATACATATGTGGTGGTGGTGGTGGTGGTTGTGATGGTAGTATAATTTATATACCTACGACGGGTTCTTGTATATTATCTATCGGTTGATAATAATATAAGCTCATTAGGTTTAAGTAGGTATAGATCAATAGTCGGGCACGTAAACAATATCGAAACAAATATAGGTATAATAAGGCACTATATTTTACATGCGTAATCGCATATTTTTTATCATAAATAAAAATATGAACACTGAACTCGCGATGTCCCATCGGTATTGAGCAGGACCTAGGTGTACGAAACAGCTGGAATAAATTTTATTTTATTTTTGTCAGTTGAGCACCGATAATATTATTATACCGCACTTACGGTCGTCCCTCTCGGATGGTTCGGTTTCAAATTTAAAAAAAATGGCAGGGAGTTTATGACATGCACCACGCGTGCATAAGACAATTTAATGTTTCAAGACCCGTTCGAACAATATTTGTGGATTGGTTTTGTGTTTTTCGTTTTGTAATAAAATATCCAGAGACTATATTTTTAAGGAACGATTGCAGGCAAAGTGTTTACTCTGGTGTACATTATGTGTACTGGTGTCTCGTAAAACTCGGGAGCGGGACAATAAGTTTACTTACACAAAACAAATCAAAATAATATGCGTCTTCGTCGTAAATAAACTTTTGGATGTTATTGTAATAATAATAATTGAGATCGCCCGGTTATCTGAAATTATTTACTGTAATTTATTCTCTCAAACGGGGAAAATAACAAAAGCAATCCAAAATTTGATTTTTAAACTACGATAAACAACAAAATAAAAGAAGATAATATTATGTTTTATTAAGCCACGCATTGTTTTATGTTATAATATATTATTCAAAGTGAATATAATATTATTTCCATTGCAGATTTATATAATAATAGTAGCTTGTTTTTTGAGTTTCTTGTATTCTCGTTCTCGAATTTTTTTTTGGTATTTGTGAAAAGGAAAACTGTGTACACCTAATAACTGTACTAAAAACTGTACATTATATTGTAATAAATATTTTTATTTTTTTTATCAAGCTCTTTTGTTTTTAGAACCGAATAATGTGTTAGTAAAATTATTCAAGGACAACAAAATACATATATACCCGGTCCCTTTAGTATCCAGATACGTCATCAAGATCATTTTCTGTTTTCGAGTTTTGAATACGAAATTCGCGTACCTACCTATACTTTGGTTTTGTTATCTGACCAATATTTACATCACTTGGAGACTGAAACGTGTCCAAAATTCAGGAAATGGTTGATCATATAAATTTCGGAGTCAGTTAGTAAAAACTAAAGATAACAATTGATTTAGTTTTCACTTTTCAGTTTCAGTACTTCTAAAAATCAACAGTTTCGAAATGTATTTTTTTTCGAATAATTAACATGCTGTTTGCAAAAATTTGAAAGCTTAGTTGAGAAATTCACACGACCCAGTAAAATCAAAATTACATGGAGGGGACCAAAAACACGCATTTCCACCCTTCCCTAGTCAAAATTGACATTTTCGAAATCTTCAACTTGCGAATATTTAGAGAATACCATTCCCTTTAAATTACAAACCCATAGTTCTGAAATTTTCTAGACACTCCTTTTCTTCTCGAAATCAAAAAAACATCAAATACATGGAAATGCCAGTACTTAGGTATAGTAAAAATTAATATTTCTGAAAATTATTTTTTCGAATTAATAACAAGCCTTAAGCGTGGATTTAAAGAACAGTAGGTATACGTGTTGGTTAATAGTGCAGGTAGATAAAACACGTCTGCTCTAAATCTGATTATTTTCGGTTTAAGTACAGTCCAGGCTCAAAATATTATAAGCTATTATTTTGTTCACAATTCGCGTTAAAATTGCCTATACGGCACCCCTTTAAAAACGGATGGCGTGTACCATTGTTACAGCACGGAACAATAATAATAAATTGTACGGCGCACCTTCGTATTTATAATAATAATTTACCTCTTTGGTACGTTCAGCCACTGAAGACGTCTCCTCAGTCGCCGTCACTGTTTGTTTTCCGGTATTGGGTTTCTTTTCGACCGTTTGAACTTCCATTATAATGATTAAGTATTATTATTATTATTATTTAGTGGGTAAGATTTTTTAATTTACAATTATAAAAAGAAGAAAAATATGTGTTTTAAACTATTTTTATACAATGGCTGGAGAGACGACTAAACAAAACGTGGCGGTAGTTCAGTCGTTCTTTTTATAAACGCTTCGGGCGACGGGCGGCAGCGGTTTCACTTCTACCACTTCTTCGTCGTCCTCGTCGTCTTCGTAATCGATTTCAATATCGTCGTCCGATAGCTCTTCACCGGAATCACTGTAATCCCTTAAAAACAAATAAATAAAAACCTAGTATAAATACGCGTCACGCATTACATATTATAATCGTTATTATTATAAAAAAAAAAAAACATAATATCATAATGACTAAGAGCGTCGATCGGCTAACGGGTATAATATTATATGAACGGTGGCGAACAATACGAGCTGCAATAGGCAATCGTTTTATCCGACACACAATATTATATAACACGGTTATAGTTGTCACATTTAGAGAGGCAGGTTTAAAGCTCGGAGATTTCTAGAAAAACAAACCGGAAGCACCAGTTGTCGACTGTCGTGCTGCAGCCTGCAGCGGATGAGCGAACTCAGTGACTAGACTAAAATGTAGGTACAAAACCGTAAGTGAACAGTGAACCGAGAACAAGAAGAGTAACTTATTTTACGATACCATATTAGTATATTACCATAGGAGGAGTAGTGGAAACCGAAAGTCTCGTAAATCTATGAATTACAAGAACCCTCAGCAAATGTAGAGGTTCGAGGCTTGCGCTAACGCGGAGTTCAGTTCTACTCGAGTACACGACAATATTAATTGCAGTTCTATAAATTGAAATGTACCTACCGATCTTGTTTACATTTTTTGCAGAGGTATTATAATATGTACAAAATATTTAATATTAAAGCAGGTAATATGTAGTGAATCGTGATTATGATGTTAGTATGTTCCATTTTGATTTATGACTTATATGAATGGTTTAAATGGTTCATAATTTCATATAAGTTTTCCCAAAAATTGTAGAAATAATATTACGACTACACGTAGACATGTTTGTTATATTTTGTTATGGTCATTGATAAACTATAATATTATTGTTATTATAATATTATCAATAGATGAGCGAACTGCGGTTATGACGTGTATAACAATGGTTTAAAATATTTAAAATTGGGTGTACGACTTACAGTCAGATTAGGGATTTGGTATTTCGGTTGAATTGGCCTTATTCTTTCATTTATACGTACAATTTAATATATTATGGACATTCGCGAACTGACCCCACGCCAGTGTAAGGCCTTCAAGTCTGGACTCGGCCCCTCACAGTTTTTTTTTTTTTTACTTTAACTAAAAATCAAAACGGAAATTGATTCAAACTAATATAATTCCAGAAGTGATGTCTGTCATGTGCATATCGACTGCATCTTAAACGCGTACTAGCATATATTGACAATCTATGGTATTGATTTGATCATTTATTTATTTTTAATGCATAAATAGCCTACGATTGCAAACATAAATAGTTTTTGAAATTATGAGCGTTTTACGTTGAATGAATCATCTGGTGCGAATTAAATAACACACAATATCTACCATGGTACCTAAATATAATAATGCACACCATGATGTGTAATAATACCCAGTATACCATGGCATGTAATAATTAATAATACACTCGAGCTACAAGCATACCACGGTATGTAATAACACACACGCATTCGTAATTACTTTGTTTGTACCTATACAAAATATATAATTAATATTATATTGTTATATTTTAATACAAATATTATGGCTTACTAGAAGGTCTTAGTAAAATTTGCAAAAATATATTTCGTCGCCGACTTATTAGGTGCGAGCGCATAACGTAACATAATATAATATTATTGCATTTTTGTATTATGTGTCTAGCGCAATATTATAGTGTTAGTATATAGCTACTTTATAGACGAATTCAAATGACGACGACTGTGCAGATGCTTTCGACCTCGGGTCTTTATTAAGGTGCGCATACGCCAAAGCGACATTACACACACACACACAAACGCACAAAATATAATAAACAGCATAATGGCGTAAAGAAAAATATATCATTATATACACACGGCGTACGAGACTGCTCTAATGTTTGTTTTTGTTTGTTTTTTTTTTATCGAGGGATGGGCCAGTCGGGTCTGGGTGTTGTACAAAAAACATATTAAAATAGTTAATATAGGTATCATGATATTATATTAATATTTATTATAGACAATTAAAATTACATGTTGATATCAACGAAAACTTTAAACCTCCAAGAACAATAACATAATATATTATATTTACGATACAAACATACCTATTCATGTTTTACAATGAGATTATTGTAAATTAAACAAAGTGTGTACAACTGTGCTGGTTGCTGACTTAACGATTTTTCATAATGAAGATTGAAGTATATAAGCTTTATGGTGATGCATATCAACAATAATTAACATTTGCAGTTAAGTAGGGTCGTATTCGCACGGTTCCTTCAACTCAAGTAATGCTTTCAGCTATTATTTAAATTGCTTGAGTTTTTCATATCACACTTGCTTAAATATTTATTTTAAAAATAGGTGGCTCGCAAACGCTCGTTTTGATTTCAATTTTTTTTTAACTATGAGTCAGCAGTTATTACGCCATGATATGGGTTCCATTAAAAAAATATGTAACATTTGTCTGAGGAAGTTATCAAACGATTGAAAGGTAAAAGTTAACCCTATTGGAAATAATCATATAAATTTGTTATGGCATTATATGCGTTGCATTGCTGTATTTGACTGTGAATTATTTATAAGTCTTAAATGAATTTACGAATTATAACAAATTTGTACTATATTTGTTACTTTATTATTTTAAACCATATTATGTATGTGTAATAAAACAATAATATTATTGTTACGTAAGTATCGAGGAATAATTTTTTAATTGTGGACCTGTTATACTTATTTTTCCTGGGCTGAAAAATATTACAAATTGCCTAAAACAAATTATAATGAAACAATGTATAGGTACTCAAAGCGAGGCCGTTTAAACAATTTATATTTTTAAATGGTCTAGTCCCGGGGCCGGTGGGTGGGAAACCCCAAGACTTGAATCTAAATATCTGATCGGAATACTTGTGCTGTTTACTCAAAAAGAGCCTTATATTGTACGTATTTTGCAGACTTATTCGAATAGTATGGATAATACAAAAAACGTATTATTTTCATGACTTGCTTAATGCTTAACACATTTATTATGTTTCAGTGTGAATTTTAATTACGGTCGTTCTGGATATTTTTTAATTATATTATAGTTCAATAAATTAATATAATAATATACTTTCTGTCTGTAGGTCTCGTTAACCATAAGCTATACTTGTATATCTGTACACAAACTACACACCATAAGATATTATGTCTATTCGGTTCATTGGCCTATGACTATAGTGGTCATTGAATTTAAATCAAACAAGACAATTAAAAACAGAACTAGTCAAGTCAGCCATCGTTCCGTTCAATTAATACAATATAACGACGTATATCTAAATACAGCTAACCAAAGCGAGTTACTACTACAAGAAAAAAATGTTATTCAAATCAATAAAAACACAATATTTAATTATTTTAACACATAAATTCGTCAATTTTCTTCTTTTTTTTTTAAAAAAATTGTTTTACACGAATAAAATATCTTTCGACAACATTGCTTATATATAAATATATCTATATTAAATATTATTAGATGTATAGGTACGTAATAATTAGGATGAAATATATTATTATTATAAAATCGACAACTACATTATTATATTATTATAAAAAAAATAAGCTCTCCACGTATAATATATAATATTGTGTAATACGATATATTATTATGTAGCAGCAGTAGCAGCAGCAGCAGCAGTAATAATAATAGTATTATGTACGATGACTACTACTCAAATAAATGTTGTTATTATTATCGTACGACGACGGGCCAAAAGCCTAACCGAGGGCGGCGGCGGCGGCGACGACGACGACTTACAGCTGTTGGTCTTGAATGGATTCGTGGTGACTTTTCAGGAGTTGACCGCCGTGCGCCTGTTCGGCTGACAAAAAGTCTCCAACCGCGGCATTATGTCCGGTCGTCGTCGTTCCCGGTGGTTTGACTGCCGTTTCGCCTTTTTCCAGAGTAGCAAAGTCCGCGGCCGGCAAGCGGCCTTTGCCGGTGGTCTTGTCCTCGTCTTCTTCTTGAAATTTCACGTGGGCCGCGGCCTTTTCCGGGACTGCCGGTTTCAGAGCGGTTTTGTCGTCTCCACCGGCTTTCGCCGACGGCAGGCTAGGGTCGTCTTTGACCGCCGCCGCAGACGACGTCGGTGGTGGTGGAGGCGGTGGCAGTACGGGTTTCACCGTCGTTCCTCTCTCGACGACTTCGAACTCAGTCTTTGCAGGCTTCGGCGGCAGCACGTCTCTGTCCTCCCTCTCTACGATTTCAAACTCCGACTTGGCCTTGGACGCGTCCTTTTCGGACCCCACCGCTTTAGCTGCATCCCCTTCCCTTTCGCCCTTCTCGAATTCCGGCTTTAGCTTGGCGGGGGCCTCAGATTTTTTCGTGTTGTCGATATCAATTTTCGGTTTTTCACTGATTTCCACAGGGGCCTTTGGAGGTTCAGGTTTTTTTATTTCGTCTTTCGGTTTTGGCACCACGACCGGTGCTTTGACCTCTTCGGTTTTAGTGGCCGGAACGCTGGGTTTAGGAGGTGTGTCATTAGTTACAACTTTTTCTTCGGGTTTTTTAGGTACGATCGCTGCTTTTTCATCTTGGTCCTCTTCGATTTCATCTTCGTCTTCTAAATCCAATTCTTCTTCTTCTCCATCATCTTCTTCATCTTCGTCGTCGAAAATCTCTTCGATATCGTCATCATCGTCTACTCCATTTTCGATCTTATCGTCATTGCTGTCAACCTCGACGGGCGGAACTACGTCCGCCGAAACTGCTGGTTTGTCCTCGGGGCAAGACGGTGGACTGTCTTTGATCGATTCAGTAGAGACCTGAAAATAGAAAAAGAGTCTAATTAATTAATGTTTTTTAATCAGGAATATTTTAACGTTTGAGTTGTGGAAAATATAAATAATAATGTGACAGCTGCTGCACCACGTGGACAAGTAAAACGGATGCCAAAAATCTCAAGTGGGCATTTATTACAGTCTATAAATTTATAAATTATTCTTAACTTTAAAAACTAACATGTGTCTTTAATCTTTGTTGGACAAATGCCTAGACTTATAATTTATGTTTTGTTTTATAACACAATCGTTATTTTCTCTTTTAAATAACTTTTATAGGTACCTAGGAGGTAGTTAAATCTTATACATAAATAAAATATTGTTTATATTTAAGAATTTAAAGAAAGAATATTCTAATTTTTTTTGTTATTTCACAAAAATAATATATAATACACGAAAATGTTTTTAGAAAGTGTACCTATAATGAACTAAATAGAACAATACGTCCTATAATTTTGAAAAGTAAAATATTAGATAGAAAAGTTAAGTTAAAGTAGTTCGGATACCTACAACATTTAATTTACTCAATTGTAATTTTTTTTTTTAATAGATAGAAAAAAGCGAGGAAAAAAGTTAATTTACATAACATTAAGTATATATCTATAACTATAATCTCGACTTTAACTATACGTAACAATATTACATATACCTACGTTTAAAATATTTCAAGTGATCTGTTAGACAAATAAATATATACGCCTATTATTGTTGTAATGTTAATACTATTATATAATTATTCATCATAAATAATAATTAAATGAAAAAAATATGACCAGAAAATTGTTATCAATAATAATATTGAACCAAGCATTACTAAATAAACTTGGAATTACTTTAAGTGAGAAATGTAATTGAAATAATACCTAATCGGACATTCGGACGACGAAATATTTAAACAAAAGATTATTAAAGATAATTCAAGTATGCATTATATAATATAATACATACATTATACATACAAGGAGATATTATGATACTAAGACTTCAGTTAGTGGACTTTGAAATTGGTACGACGAATAATACGAAATCAGACAAGATCAAGAGTCGGGTCAAATAAATTATGCAACTACAGAACTATTTTAATATTATAATATGTGTTAATCGAGTGACATCATTATGATGCACGTAGAATCGAGAAGTCTCGATAATTCGGATCTCAAGGGGGATAAAAATATACAATTAAACTTTTATAATTGGTGAGTTACAGGAACTCAAACATAACTAATACGGTTTCAAGGGACAAGAAAAATTTGAGTTACCGAGGTTTTTGAGAGTCGACTGCATATGTACGGGATACCTATTATACTGCTCGTGCCTTACATGCATAGTCCCAATTTGGGTATTCAACGTGTTGTTACACATGCGCCGAATATTGTGGGTAACATCTGCCCACGTCGGAAGTTGTATAATCGTTAAATGTTTCTATCATATGTTTCGCGCCGTACGCTTACGACGGATTTATCGCATATTATAATTTTCTTTTAAATCGACCTGTCCGATCGTTACAGACTTGAACCTGCGGATTATAATATCGTTTACACGGTCGCTGTCAGAACGGAAATTAAAAACCGGAAATGTATCTATCGTGTGGGCGCGAGATTCTTCGCTGGAGCGAGCACATGCCATAACAATAATATGACGATGACGAAAAAAAATCGAAACTTCCACTAGACACTGACGCCAACGCGCGTCTACGTGAGGTGTATCCAACTGACCAGCTGTGTATACCAAGGTTGTGGTGTAATATTAATAGCGTGGTCGTACACGCATAGATCGAAGAATATTTACGTGTGAGAAAGGGGTAGGTGTGTCCATAGGCGCAATTAGGCGGCTTGGGAGGCTTAGGCCCCCCCCAATTTTTATAACATATTTTAGCATAAAATATTAATTATAAGGATTTGTGCTGCTGATACAATTCTTGCCCCCCCCCCAAATAAAAATGTCCAACGTTGCGTCTATACGTGTAGGTACCATTACAAGAAGAACGAACGATTTATCGCAGCTTCAGAGATACGTTAAAAATAGAATAGCTTACAGACTTCAGACTGTTAAACGCAAGGTGATTCACCAAGCACGTTCGCCCTTAAAATGTAGTCGTTTTTTTTTTAACTTTTTGAAAATGTCTATGTATCTGATCAAAACGCGAACGAGTAGTTTCAAAGTTGTTAAAATGTATATACTTATAATCCTTAAAATGTTCATACGAAAATATAAAATAGCTGATGTAATTTGATCTAGTATTTAATATAGGTTAATACCTCATGCATTTTTAGGTTTTACGAACTATATAAAATATTGATAGATATTAGTAGATATTGTAATATTAGTTCCTATAATACATTTTCAAATCTATTATAATGGACCTATAGGACTTATAAGTAGTATAAAAAAATCTAAATAATTTAAAATAATATGGTCTTCAAAAATAAGTAGGTACTTTAAAATTCTAAAGACAGAATTTGAATAAATTACTATTTAAATAATATTAATATTATTAATTGTTATTAAATTAAAATAATGTGGGTGAGCATGCTTGGAGAATCCCCCTGTATATTAGGTACTATTACATAACTCGAGAAGAAAAAAATTATTCGTTGTCGTACAAAGACATCGGGTACAGATAAATATAATCACTGTTATGTCAATATCGCTTTTGATTTGCATGCGGACAAAAAAGGTAGGTGCAAGACACGAATAGCTTAATATTTTGTCATAATATTATTTTATACGTCGTCAATTACAGTTTAATATACATAATACATAGTAGTATAGTACTTATATATTAAGTATATGATATAAACACTGCACTAATACAGGTACGTGCGTTGAATGTTAAATACCTTAGAAATAACGGCCATTCACTATTCAGTCAGTCGGACCCACAGAAGGCAATATATATATATAATATATACCTATAACCTAACCTAGTATTACGGACAGGTAACGATGATCCATAAAAATAATAAATTGTGATATTTTTAATTTTTCGAAATGAAATTAAAATTATATAATGTATACATAATCCGAACGTTTCACATTTGTATAAATTCAAAATATGAAAATAAATAAAAAGCGTATAATAGGTAAACTTTTTTAAAACTTACATTTTAACAGTAACTTCGAACGTGGATAATTGTTATTCGTCATAGTTGCAAGTTGCTGTATACGTATATAGTACCTTTGCAGTACCTAACAGTTTACAGTACATAATATTATTGTATACGCACGAGTGCACGACACGAATCTCGATTGTTCTAGTACGTATTATTATTACTATCATTATTATACAATCGGACCAGTACTGTATTTCGAATATAATAATTACGAAGCATCTGGCAAAATATTACAAATATAATGTAATAATAAAAAAATGTGTACCTACTCGTTTTTTGAAAAAAAATTATATTATACCTACATAATATATCTAAATTATTTCGATTATTACACAGTCAGAATACGGCAAGTTATCGAACAGCTAGGTATACATGTCGAATTATAATATTATGCATTATCGTCTATCGAACTGGTGATTGTCGGGACCGGAAAAATGATTCGTCGACGAGTAAACACAATACACACGATGATCAAAAGGCGCACGATAAATATTATTACTTGGGTTTTTCAATATCTGTGTCGATCTTTGACATTCGAGCGCATAGTGGTAAGTAAGAGTGTTTAAAATAATACTCCTATATATTATATTATGCACTTTTTATATATACATAGGTACCTATAGGTATAGACTATTATAGATATACTGATATCGAGGCCAGGCGTAAAGTATTAACGAGGTAAGTTAAGAATAACTTTGACTCGACACAAAATCAGTTAATTTTTAATTTAACCAAGTTTATTAATTATTAGTTTTCGATTATGGTAGGTATAGACATTCTTGATAAATGTGTCACATGAAAGTTGGAAGTCGCATTACCGCCTGTTCACTAAACAAAATCGCCCATAAGCAAAGAAAATTAATTTAGTTAAAGTTGAAAGTTAATTTTTTTCAACGTAATTTACTACCTATACTACCTATGTACAAAAAGAAAACCAAAATAATCTTAATGAAATCAAACGAGTACAAAAATATTTATCGAATTGCCCAGCCTTGATTTTTAAACGTGCGCATATTGTAAAGTATAGGTAATAGGAATAATATTATAATATGAAAGTACCGCGGCGGACGCGCAAGAGATATTATCCAATCGGAATTCAAAATTTAGAAAAATACTTCAATATAATAAGTTCTATGATCATAATATAATGATTACTATTAATCATACGCCGTCACATCGGAATAATTTACGTATTAAGTCCAGATAATAGAAATAAAATGATATGATAATTTCTAAATAGAGCAGCAAATGCGCTCGCGTCACTCCTCCACCTCCTCTCCGATTGCCGGGTACAAAGTTAACGGAGACAATAGTACTATTATCATTATATTATGTAGGCACGTGCCCTATAATACAGGCCCTCGTATATAGTGGAGTGATGGAAATTGTACCTATTTAATATTGGTTATAAGATATAGATGCACAATGGATATATTATGAGTTATAACAATATTTATTAACAGCGTTCATGGAACTGTTAAATAATAATAGCTAAATAATAATTATATTGTACCTATACAACGTTTAATAATTATACCTATAATTATTTTCTTTATATACACTGTTACATAATAACGGGAGTCTCAAATATTGTAAAAATTGTAAGAACACACAGTCAGTGGTTGAATTGAAAAATAATTGGTGAGAGCCTAAAAATCAATGGTTCAATTTGAATTAATTTAAAAAAAATAAGAGTTAATATTATTTTTAATTGTATATAATATATTTTTTTTTTTTTTTTTTTTTTTTTCATTGATCATTAAGCCCGGCAACTATGGCCATTAGCTGTTTTTTTTTTTTTTTTTTTTTTGTTTGTTTGTTTGTTTGTTTAGTTTGTAGGGGAGGGAACTGTTGGTTTGTAAACACGTGTGTTTGTGGTGGCAGAATTTTTTTTATTGGGGCACCCGTAGGTTTCTGCCATGCCCCGGAGTGGGGGGATGGCGGCACTTGTTTTCCGGACACCGTGACTTGCCCGGAAAAAAATGCCGCCCGGTGGTCGAGAATCGAACCCGCGACTGCCAGCGCCGCGGCCGACGCGTTAGACCGCTCGGCCACCTCGTCCCCCATATAATATATTATAATACATTTAGGTATACATAAAAATATGTATAATATATATGTATATATAATATATAATAATAATATATATAGTAGGTCTATTTATTCAACAATAACACCCGATATTTTTAATTAATAAATGTGCTATTGTTTAAATTGAAACAAATTTTTTTGTAACTCTTAAAAATAAATGTATCTTTATATTTCATGGACAGGTACAGGATAATTAAAAAAATGCACGACATACGTCATACTTAAGGCAATAATTAAAAAACCATTTTCGTTCGAATTTAAAAAAAGGATAATTTCGGTGAACTTTGGTTTTAGTGGATTTTGGTAGCCTGCAACCCAAACAAGAAATTACTAACTAATTACTAAAAAAAATCACCGAATCAAGTGAAAAATTAAAGCGGTGCCACATTAAACGAATGCATAATATGGCACTCATTGCGGGGAGGTTAAAAACTAAAAAATGTCTTCAAACATGTTTTTCAGTAAAGTCCTCCCAATGCCATCTGATTACAAGGTGGCTCGTCTGCAATATTAACTGGTACCTTGTAATGCATACAGGCTGTATACAAAATTATATGCGCGGAGGCGTGACGATGCATAGTGTGTGTATAAAATAAAGATTTTGTTCCCAGTACAAAACCCACGATTGTACGCTGTGGACAATCGAAAATATATAGTATGAATCACGGCAAAACTATTTTCGACTGTAGTTGCGTACAGGCGAACGACACTCGGAGACAACAATAATAATAATTTAAATCCGAAGATGACACATTATATTATTATTATACGAATGATAATTATTGCGACTTGATAGAGGAGCTATATAATATTATTATATCGCACACATAAAAATATTATACTACGTAGGCATAGGTGCGAAAAATAATACAGAACGGCGTTCGTTTTCGACGGCTAGCGAATCGATGACGCAACCTTGACGAAATTTTTTTTCGGCAGAAGTTTCGCCAATTCGCCGCCGCCTGTGTTCAACTCAAGGACAGCTCAGCGACTGTTATAGACTGCACTGCACCGGCATAATACGCGTCGGTGTACGTCGCACATAAATTGCGGGTAATGTTATACCCTATGTTTGTATATGATAATAATAACGTGAGTCACGCTACTCGTATATACCTACAACATACGTATGCAAGTGGCGAACGGACGAGAGAACGAAAATAATCTCGCGAGATCCAAACCTATACAGCTATAATAATACATAATGCACGATCGGCATATCTGTCCGTCCGGACGCCAACTGCAGCGTGTTCAATGTTGGCCCCCGAGGAGGGTGGAAATCGGTAAATGTATTATATGGCGTGACGATATAGAGGGGGAAACGGAATTCTGCGTGCAAACATACCTCGAAACATGCCATCGAAATTTTCCGCAAAAACGGGCTCAAGTATAGGTAGTTCGCTGAAGTGTGTAAGAAGAAACGCGATGTGTGGGGGTGAGTTTAATACTTTAATCACATAGCAGTGGTGAGTACTATTATAATAGCACATAATAGAACAGCGAGTTTTTTATTCGGTTGGAGGACAAAAATAGGTAGGTGCGTCGACCTTTTTCGTACAAACGATGTCAACCCTAATATAATGCATAATATATTAGGTACCACATAAATTAATATTTTAATTTATTAACACGAGATTATACTGAAGAGATAAGTTTGGCACGTCATGATATTATCTGAGTAACAGTTTTGTTTTTCATAATTTTACACATAAATAACAAAAATTGTTCGCAGCAAAATTTTTCACCCAGTGTAACGCGATAGAGATTGCTAAAATAAGAACCTTGAACGTTTTTTTACATAAAATTCACATTATCTTAGGTATATAATAGTATATACAATGGACCTAACACTAACATGCATGATGGGTATATAACGATTTTAAAAACTGATTGACACGCGTGCTTACGTATATTTTATATACTTTTTGGTTCATTCCCCGATTTTATGCGCCTAAAGCATGATTTAAGCAGAAAAATCGGTTTAGGGATTTTGGAAGAGAAAAACAATGCTTGAAAACTGATTTTTGGCTCAATCGAAGGATCAATCACAGGGTCATGTACATTTCACACGGGTATATTCTTCAGAGTTCAGATATCTATATAGGCCATAGGGTTATGAAGATAAAGCGTATCGCGATCCGAACACAGCGCCAATAGTATAGTAATCGCTGCACATCGTACCTACGTCTAAATTTAAAGACTTGCGTGTACCGCCGATTGCATAACAGCTTAAACGGTCTCGTCGTCGGAAAACACAAACCTTATAAATTTATAATATTTGGTATTTTGGTGCACACAAACTCGGTGACGATAAAAGCGCGATAATACAATAAATTATAAGATATAATAATTATATTAGGTAGGTAGAGTAAATAATATTATATACCAACATTTTTGATTATTGATTTATAATTAAAATATAATATGATAATTAAATATTGGATTTCAGACGTATTTTATCCATAATAATAATATTCTGTTGTGTGTTGATAATGCGAACGCGATTTTGTGGGAACGATATTATTATTATAGTAATGATAAAATACGATCTATAACGACCATAAATAATAATATTATAATATTCCGACCGTACAGCGGGAAGTATGTAGAAAATGTCTGTAAAATGTCATCGCCCCACGTGCATTGCCGAATTTCTCGTTCTAAAATAAAAACCGGCGACGGAGATCTACAACACGCGTTTATAAATAGAGACGGCGCACCACCACAAGCCGACGGCGCGGTGTCACGATCGTCAAAATAATATGTCGTCTGGCGGTACGCTGTGTGCTATTGCTGTATTATAATATGGTGTTATCAATGATAATAATAATATCTCATACGTCTGCGCCTATTGTTTCGTTTTCGAATTTAATCGAATTATTTTAATCCTATATCACATTATCGTTATTATATTACAACACGCCTACACGTCATATTCGGTACGCGACCGTCGCGGTACGGAAACCTTGAACTCGACCTCGCGCAATAACGGCGACGGATTTCGAACGATCGACAGGGAAATCGCGTCACACCGTATAAGACCGTAATCGGCTGACAATATCGTAATCGGCCGCGAGAATAGTATTATTATTATATCGTTACGGTGGGAAAAAATGCAACATGGGACCGTCGTACCTAGACCCGCGGCCCAACCTGTCTATTATACCTGTATATAGTTAAAACGTGCTTTTTGCTTTATTTGCAGTAGACGCACCACACATATGGTGTGCCCACTCCTCGTGCCCCGCGCAATGCACAGCCGGTGGAAATCGGATTCCGACAACGATCGATCGTATGTAGCCGCCGCCGCCAACGAGGCTAAAAAACTTAAATGTTCGACAAGCGTACCTACCCATTAATATTGCCAACTGTTTTTAAACCATAAAAATGTCAGTAAGTTCGACCGAACGCTGCAGGAAACGCTCGAAAGTTCGTTCACGAACACTGCAGCAGCTGTCTCAATCCAATAACAATAAAATATGACAAAACAATTAGGGGAGGGCCGCGTGGGGGGCAGCTTTTTCATAATTAAATAAATTAAATACCTAGGTATGTATAAACGGTAAGTATAGAATAAAATAACTTGTGCTCACCTGTCCGAAGAAGAAGTTCCACACGATCAGCAAGTACCGCCTGAGCACGTCGACGAACATGATTCGCGCCGCGTGTGAACCGGTCTCGACGAAGTCGGGCAATACGCAAGTACTGAGACGATCACTGTCACTATAATAATATTATGATGATAGTACTGTTGCAACTTCAGCGGTCGGTACTGCGCGCGCGCGCACTCACGTTCGCCGGTGCTTACGGACGTCGACGCGGTAACCACTCGATTTATACCCGATAAGCGGTAAGGGGGACGTTGGTAAATCGCACTCGGCGCGTCCGGCTGCAACTACGGGATGCACTGGTGGTACGGCGGATCGAATCGTTCGCCTTTGGCGGTCTGACAAACGGCGCGACGACGGCAACTGATTGCGATTACTATAATATAGTATTATTTTGTTCTGCTATCGTAATGACAGCTCTCGTTTTCCCGTCGACGTTTATTATATTCTCGACAGTAATAATTTGAATATCGTGTACGGGTACCCAAAACACTACGATAATATCACGATAAATCGTACGCACAAACGAAAACACGGGCGACGCGTAACGCACTGCACCGGCGGCGATGGCGTTGTGCTGCGGACTTACAAAAATGCAACGCGGGGGGGACAGCCGTGACTGCCGTAGCGGCGACGACCGGGATACCGCGAGTGGCGGGGGGGACGAGATGAAAAAATTTAAGAAACGCTCGTTCGGAGGATGACGTCAAAATATCTCTGATGTCCGCTACAGGACTGCTATAAATAAATACACGAATGTACTCACACACTGTGTGTGTGTGTGTGTGAGAGTGTAATATTTACGCCTCGACTAACGCCGCCACTGCAGTTAGCGGTGGTACCGATCGTTTGGGTGCGCATAAGTTGGACAATATTATTATTATCCATTGGATTGTATTTTTGATGAAAAAAATCCCGTTGGAAGCACATATTAATATATTTTTATTGTTGACATTGTACTTATTGTTTTATATGGAATCGTAATTATAACATTACATTCGCGTTTATTTATATTTTGTTATTATCTATTATTTTATTTATTCTTAATGTATTATGCCTACTATTTATCCTACATCTGATATTTTTGTATTTATATTAACACATCAATACGCATTATGACACTAACAATAGTTGAAATATTCAAAATCGCCTCGATGAAAATCTAATACCTAAACTTGTTAATCAATCATAATAAGTTTTCAAAATTAAAATCCTTCAAATAAAATTCCTCCAGTGTTTTGTATGGCTTTTTGGTCTAAAAGTCACTTTTTGCATCGACTTGCATCTGACTTGCATCAATGTTGACATGTTAACTACATTGTAGTACCTACTGTATTTTTTTTTAAAACATACCTTGTAATTGAAATCCGTTTGAGATATAATTATATGTAATATTATGTCGGAAACGAATTCGGTCGGAAACGGTAAAAAACATAATATTAATATGGAACTGTAATAATATTAGATATACCGTCATACTGGACAATATTTTGTCGGAATCGTATTTGCTCAGACGCTTATTTCTTTGGACATATTGTATTTTACATTATAGGGTTACGGCAATAGCTCAAAAAATATGTTTTCCGATTTTTACGTTCCAACCTATTATTTTCCAACAAAACATAGGTATCCCTCCAATCGTTTTTCTCTAATTGATTTTTTTTTTACCAGTCTCGTGTTTTCCGCACATGACATGACATATTATTTTATTGACGTTGAAGTGTCGTGCCGATACGCCGATTACTGTATGATAATAGAATAACCTTGTTGGTTGTTCGTAAAAATATGATATCCTACAATTATAGACTTGATGTCGTGACATTTTTACAACGTATATTTTACAGCATGGGTCCGAATAATTTTTTTTCCGCTCATCTAATATATCTTTGGAAAATCAATGAATTACACAAATTGATTTTCTGTAATCGTTACCACTACATTTTGGCGGAAAATCCTAAGATAAATCTACAAGCGACACGCCGACACCGTTTTGGCACCATCGTTTGGCCAGAATATAGTCTTTTGTTATAATTCTAAGTAGGATTGCTTACCTAATTATTTTATTTCATTTTGCGTATTAGCAATTACTTTAAATACCTACTATTTAACACTTATTTATAGTTTATTTGACATAAGTATAATATGTATAACACTATAACAGTATAACCCAATTCTAGTCTCTTAGTTTTTATAAATGTTTTCCGGCCAATACAATAATTAACTCATCCAAGCTAGCATAATTCTACTCTATACCTATAAATTGATGAGTCATAATGTACTTATTGTTTTTATCATTTTATCTCCAAAACGATTACAACTAGTTTAATCCTATATCATAGAAATTCTATAAATTTAAATAAAAATACATCTCTATAATATAATATTATATTATGCATTTACGGTGTACGTGCCCCACTGGATACGATTACCTATACACCGGATAAAATCCCTCTTTTTTCACCCGTTATATATACATAATACAGTGCGAGTGTTTGGTCAACGTCCTTTGAGCAAATATTTGAATTTTCCGATAGACGACAGACGACCTAATTTATATTATATTGAACCGCAAGTATAGTCGTTCCCGAAATTCTCAAGAGAACATAGTCGTGCGTTAGTATGGGTAGGTATAACGGTATAGCCACAACCGCAACAACCTATATTAAAATACCACTACAACTTTGAGATTAATTAAATACAATTTGCTTTTAACGAAATTAAATACTAATCGATTCAAATAATGTTGTTTTATAATATGCACTCGTGTACAATTTTATGGCATAAAACGACTTTTAAACATAACAACGATGTTGCACGCTTGTTATATATATACTAAATAAACGTGAAACTACTTATATACTTGTAAACTTTGAAAAGGCTAATCTCAGAATCTATGCCATCGATTTGGCTGATTCTTGTTTTGTTGTGATCGTAATTGTCAGGACGAGGATTTTTTGAAAGAAAACTGTTGGAAAATCCACCGGAAAGGTAGGAAATCTTGACCGAAAAAATACAATAGTGGGGCCATCTGTCAAAATATGTTTTTGTTTATTGTAAGGTTTGCTATTGGTTCTGATTGAATATGATTTTAGACCTGTATTTTATATTTGGTAAAACCATATAACTTGGTAAAAATGAAATTTCTAAGGCTAACTTTTAGACCGTTGTCCCGAGTAGGCGGGATTAACACATTCACGTCATCATAAGCAACGAGTTAATAAAACGTAATATTAAGACAATAAAGTAAGTACTACGTTCCTCGCCTGGTCTGAAAATATACTGATCACATAATCATAAGCGTGTCTCACGTCTATAATAATCTATATATATAAAAATGAATGTATGTCAGTGTGTCTGTGTGTCTGTGTGTCCATGTTACCATGGTTACCAAGGTTGCCATGGTTACTAAGGTTACCAAGATTTCATATCAATCTATATATATAAAAATGAATGTATGTCAGTGTGTGTGTGTGTGTGTGTGTGTGTGTGTGTGTGTGTGTCCATATTACCATGGCAACCATATCTGTATATAAAAAACAGTAAGCTGATTGACTGCTATCAACGCACAGCTCAAACCATTGGACGGATCTGGCTGAAATTTGGCATACAGATAGCTATTATAATATAGACGTGCGCTAAGAAAGGATTTGCCAAAATTCGCATTTTAAATAGGTGCTGAAACAGGGACATTGAGATTCACGATAGAAATTGGAAATTTTATTTTTATTTATTTATAGTTGCCATTGGTTACAGTCTACATTAGAAATTAGCATTTATTTATTGGTTGCCATTGATTATTCGGGCAGATCAGGTACAAGCTTGCATCAAATCGAATTATTGAACAATGCTTACCAGGGTGGCAGAGTTGCACTTACCGCAGAAAATTACACCCAAAAGGAGTTCAACAATCATAATTTTTTTAAGAGTTGCGATTTTTTACGAGCAACCAAATTTATTATATTAATCCACAGTATTACATCAAAATAAACTTGGTATAACTTTGATACTTTAGAGTTAAATCATACACTTCCGTACAAACAGCACGGGGTCCGCGATCTACCGCAGGTAGATTGCCTACCTGATAATGTACTGCTGCGATTCAGAATTTTTATTCATGGCAACGGGAAAGATAAGATAAATTTTGAACACCATACACCGAATATTGAATAATGAATTGAACAAAGTTTGAGTAGGTAGTATTGAGTTGATCCATTTAACGGGCGACGAAGTGCACGGGATCAGCTAGTAATATAATATAATCGAACGTGCACCGACCGATCAACGTAAGTCCTAACTAATGATAGCTATCGAGGCTTGCAATTTTTCAAGGTACCTATATTTTATTCAATTAAACTCATAAGTCTAAGATATTTTTCGGTATTATATTATAGACGAGAATCATGGTATCATGGTGATACACAAATATTTTACACTCGGGCGAAGCTAGTATATTATAACATATATTTTCGAATATAGGTACATATCGATTTTCGCGTCTGAATATATTTTTGCAAATCGCGTGAACCACAGTGTCCAGTTTTTATCAGAAAGGTGCGAAGTTTTTAGTGAAGGCAAAATGGTATAAGGTACAAAACATATTTATCCAAACTACGTAGGTATACATAGGCGTTACTGGGAGATTAAAAATGTTTATAAATAGTTATAATATAATGTACAAGTGCAGACAATGCAGGTACATAATAATTCGTTTATGAACTTAGATCATCTGCTTTAATAGCAGTTATAAAATGATAAAGGTTTTTACCACTTTTTACTATAGCGATTTGTAAGAGTCATAATTGTGAATTTTAAATTTCATTATTTTCAATAATTCAACAAATTAATCTACTGTAGTCTGTATTTACTATTTATATAATCTGTTATGCAGTGTTTGATGCACAATACGTGAAAATGGTTAACGGTTCCTTATTATTTCAAAAAATACATAGATTTAGTCATTAATTAATGTAAATTATATTTTATAATGTTAAATTTAATTATAATTTACGGCGTTGTAATTTTATCAACTGCAGGTACATTTAGCT